CACCTCGTCTTCCATCGTTCCAGCACCACCGCCTCGGGCAGCCACCGGCGGTCTCTCCGCTTGTTCCTGCTGCCCGATCTCCTCAGCACCGCGATCCCCCTCAGCAGCGAGGGATCTCTGGCAGCGTGTCCCTCCTTCCTCCCGGGTTTCGGCACCAATGTAACAACGTTCGTAGGTCGGGAAGGAGGAGGCGGGAACCGACGAACATTTAAAGAAAACATTAATAATAAAAAAAACACAAAATGAAAGTAAAGCGGCAGCCTCTCGCGGACGACTGCCGCACACAAAACACAAAATAAAATCCAGGCCTGGTCCTCTCTCATCCAACACTGTCGTCACGCCTCCTTTTATCCTTCCGGAGCTCCTCCGTGGGACCGGTGAGTGGCGCAGGTGTCACGCATTAGCATTTACTCCACCGGCCTCGCTCTGTTCCCACGGCTCTCGGCCCCGCCCCTCTCGTCACAGTATTATAGTGTTATACTAAAACTAAAATTAAAACAATGGAAAAACCCTTAAGATAACATGTAGAAAGAAAAAAAAAGCATCTTAAGCACACAGAATAACATAAGTGAACTTTGAATGATTATACAATCCATAATTGTAATCGCGATTAGAAATTCGATTAATTGTGCAGCCCTACAGTCTTACAGTTAATCTTTATAAATGTTAATAAAATTGAGCAAATCTCAAAAATGTAATTTCCATTTTTCTGCTGTATATTATGTTATCTAGCTAAATTCACTTGTAGCATTTAAGATGACTTATTTATTTTTTACGGTTTTTATTTTAATTAATTTACACAAAATATTAAAGAATTTTAATATCAGTCATTTATTGCTTATTGGCCATAGCATGAAAATTACTATTGGCTTATTGGTATATTTTAATATTGTATTTTAATATATTTTTTTAAATTAAAAAACAATAATTTGTCAAGATTAGTCAAATTAGACCAATGTTGTGTAAAATGCCCTAAAGCATAAAGAACTTTAATAAAACTATGCAACGTAAAAGAAAACACAACTCACATTGGTAAATCATTTTACTCAATATACCGTATTGGCCCGAATATAAGACGACCCTGATTATAAGACGACCCCCCCTTTTTCCAGATGTACCTTTTGGAAAAAGGCTTTTTAAAAACCAAATCTTGTTTTTTCTCAGTAAAACACATTTTGTCTTCAATTATTTTCATATTGCATATTTTTCCTATTTTAATTTTTGTTTTGAAAGTATGGTAAAAACTGGTAAAATGTACCAACAATCACATTTAAAAAATATACACTTTTTGATATACCATTTAAAAAAAAAACAGGTAGCCCATCTGAATTAGGACATTTAGGCTATCCATCTAATAGTAGCCTACCAAAATCTTATTAACAGTAGAAGTTCAATCTTACTGTAGTCTTCAAATCTGGGTACTGTCTTACGTTTTAAAATCACAAAGGGAGTTTGGTGCCATCAGGCTAACGTGACAGTCACGACTCATGCAGCTGTAAGGTTTTCTGCTTCTTTTGTTTTTACTCGCGATCTTTACAACACGCATTACATTACGCATTTCATGGCACACTCGTTTTATGCGTATTTGGCGCCACCTAGTGTTGTGGGTGTATTATTGACATGTCAAAGTCTAGACCCTGAATATAAGACGACCGCGTTTTTTCAGATGTATTTCCAAGAAAAAAATATCATCTTATATTCGGGACAATACGGTAGTTCAGTGAGAAGTTATGAGAGACAAAACCCAGAAGACAGCAGTAGTGAGGGCATTACTACAAACGAGAGACTCCTTTCATGCACAATATCACCACTGATAAGTGTTAAATTAAAAAAAATAAACCGCACTCTCTAGTAATGAAATATATTTTCCTTTGTGAACATTCTGTTTCGTAAGAATTCATTAAAGGTTCGAGTTTGTGCCAAAGACTCTTTCATAACACGAGGAACACATTAAACTGTATCAGGTCATTTTGACTACTTGAGTACGCAACAGATAAAATCAACCAAGTTTTACAAGTAAATACTATTTCAGTCTTTCTACTTCAAAATTTTGTTTAATTCAGTGGGCTACTTGCAGTTCATAGTATTTTCTTTGCTAAATTTACTAGTAATTTCTGAGTAAAAATAATTGCAAAGTAAATCGTACACCTTTATTTGTGAAAAATCACGAAATGCTCCATTTAAAAATGTGTATAGTTCTCAATCACTACTGTTATTTCCAAGTACCCATGGCCAGCCCTAATCTCTGTGCCGATTATCCATCCTAAACATGATAATCACCAAGTAAAGGTCATTTTTGTTCCTTCCAGGACACTTTTGGCACTTTTCCACTGAGTGGTACGACTCCGCTCGGTACGGCTCAGTACGGCACGGCACGGTTCGGCTCGGCACGGTTTGCGTTTCCACTGCAGTTCAGTACCGCTTCAGAGTGGGCGGGATTATTCACATGTCGTTATAGTGCTGGCATTGAAAAAACAGTCTCTGTGCAGAATAAAAAAAGTACCAGGTACCAGGTACTGTCCCCAGTGAAAACCCCCCCAAAAGTGAACCGTCCCGAGCCGTACCGTGCCGTACCATGCAGTGGAAAAGCGCCATTTGTGTCACCACACCTTGATTTCCCAGGGTTAGAGTCCCTTCTGTGGGCCAGCAGTCAACCTCAAGCCCCTGTGCCTGGATCTCACAAAAGCGCCCTTTGTTAGCGTGAACGTCCAGCAGTCTGCAGACAGGAAAATGTCTGAGCAATACTGCTTTCCACTGGCAGGGCCTCACGACGCAGCTGGCAGGGGGCCTCCTGGTGGAGTTGCTGCGGCTGTTGGTCTGGTCTTTCAGAGAAATGGCGAAGAGCCAACCGCTGGCACTGACGCCAAGTGGGTCAGCCGTGATCCCAGCCAGAGGGAGGCAGAGAGCACGGGAGAATGGAACGAGGATTAGAGGCAAAATAAGGTGACTTATAAAGATGTCAAAACCGCTCATTAAAACAGATTTGCTCAAACTTACAGAGAAGATCTGGGTCTGTTTATGTAGGTGATACACTGATTCACTTCTATAAGCATATGGACCGACATACAGTAGAAACCTAATGCCTCCAAAACGGAATCAAAAACAGGTTTCCCAAGCACTCCTCCCATTTGCAATCGGTCGGTTAAAGAGATTCACGCCATTGGTTGAGCTGGTCAGGATGCTCAAAAAAAAATTTATGTCAATATCAATGTATACATTTTCAGGGAGGTCAACCTACAGCACCTATAAATTATTATTCTAAAAAATGGTAAAGGAATATTCCAGTTTCAGTAAATTAAGCTCAATCAGCAGCAGTTGTTCCATAATGCTGATTATCACAAATATTAATATAGATACCTCCCTCGATTAAAAACAAAAAAATCAAGTTTATTGTGCGACGCCTACAATGGAAGTGAATGGGGCCCATTTTTGGAGCAGAAATATGAGGCTTACAATTTTAGAAAGCTATTTTTGGTAATTGAAAATAACAAAGGGCAAATAAAATGACATTGTGTGATTGAGTTTGAAGGCCTCACGTGTGAACCTGTTTGCTTTGATATATTGTTATAGCTGAACTCACGTGAGCCTCTCCCGGTCTAAAGGCGGCTAATTGTGTCCACAGGTCAAACGCAGACAAACATCCTATTTCCTCTCCCTTACTCACCTGTTACGCCTGCATGACTCAGAACACACACAAAAACTGCACATTCACGCGAATACATAAATAATAGGTGCCAAGGGGAGCTGAATAATCCACTAATCATTCATAACTACCATATTTAACTCATCACAATCAAGCTAAATGATAAATGCTACACAAAACAACTACTAGCCCAATTTGTCAGCACAAACATGATAAAGATTTACAAGCACCACAGTGACAGTTAAGATCAATTATCATGTTCTCCTCCCACTTTCTCAGAAGTAACTAACTATGGCATACACACATCCCGTGTAATAGACTATATATATACACACACCATGATTACTCATTTACATATAGCCTTAATATAAAATTTGCTTCCTTAAAACCTGTAGTAAACAAATAATTAAAAACAACCAGTAAAACTACAAGACATAAAAGTGAGCAAACGTAATTGAATCACCTAAAATGTCAAACCATAGAATTCTCTGTATTTGGCCATTAATTAGCTGTTGTAACAGCAGGGCTCGCAAAATTTCAAAATCGCTGGTAGCCCTTCGGGCAGACATTCTTCAGATTTTGGTAGCCCAAAATTAATTTAAGTAGCCCGAATAAAAAAAAAAAAAAAGACATCGGCTGAACTTCACTGGGGACAAATCAGCATGA